GGTTAGGATTTGTGCCCGTGACCAGAAGGTAGCTGGTTCAAATCCAGAGGCTTGAGCCCTTTACCCCAACTACTGCAAGGATAGTGCTGATCCTGATCTTTCACTAGTACGTCACCTTGGACAAAGGCATCAGCTAAACATAATGACTGGACAACCCTACCAGCCATTGTTTGATTGTTGCCAGATAAGCTTTGTCAAGCTCCCCAATCAGGTTTTTTTGTGTGTGTAATCTGAACAGTCACACCTATTACACCAGGGGTGGCCAATCTTATCCGCAAAGGGCCGGTGTGTATGCAGGTTTTTGAAATAACCTGTAGGTCAGCTGTTCAAACCCAGGTGTGAGGGTTCAGCCAATCAGTCCTCTAATTAGTCATCTAATTAGGGAGTTGCAGCGAAAACTCGCACACACTGGCCCTTTGCGGATAAGACTGGCCACCCCTGTATTACATGGGCAGCAGCTGTATCCTTAGCCTCATAGCCCACTTGGGTTGATTTTTATTTCCTAATACAGTGGTACCTCAGAACTCGAACTTAATCCATTCAGAACGCCAGATCGAATCCTAAAAAGTTCGAGTTCTGATTGAATTTTCTCCATAACAAATAATGGAAAACCAATTAATTGGTTCCCGGCCCCAAAAATTACACCTAAATATGTTTTTTTAGCATTTAAACACAAAACGAGCCGGATAAAACAAGAAGACCATATACTGTACTAAGCACATCTAAGCACATTTATCAAAACGGAAATTTGTAAAGTAAGAAAATAAAATGTATCCAAACAGTGTGTAAAGTTAAAAAAATAAATAAACAATGTGTCCTGCCCCGATCGTCTGCTCCTTCCGTGTGCCACGCCCCCTTGTTAACCCCGTGTGGAATCCCCACGTGATCAGCTCTTCCTGCTTGTTGTCATTAGTCCTCTGTATTTCGTCCGCATTTCAGTTTATTTCCCCAGTCCGGTCATTGTATTGTCCGTCTGCGTTTTGCCTGCCTTACCTGTAATTAAACCCCGTATTCCTCGATACCCTGACGCCTGCACCTTTGTCTCCGTTCCGTCCCCGCTCCGCACGACAATATTATTATAATTCAATGTATTAATGGTTTATCAATATTAAAATAAGAAATCTTTATTTTTAAATGTATTTTATTATGTAATTACTGTTACTGTCCATCATTGTCTAAATGTAGTTTTACTGTCTAAATATATGTATTCAGCTAGTGTAAACATGCATGATGCTATCACAGCAAATGCGAGGCTGAGACTGAAGCTTTAGCCCTTGTTTCCACTGAGAGACGTGACGCGTGACTCATTTCCCTGCGCGTACAAGTTCTTAGGTCGGTTCACGGTTTAACTTCTGAGATTCAGATCAAGCTCTAGGTAATTTTTTTTTTTTTTAACTGGTTGGTTCGACTTAAGAAATTCGAATTCTAAAGAGTTCAAGAACTGAGGTACCACTAATTACCAGCGCCAGGGGGTGATATGGCTCAAATGGCTTTATTACGAGTTTAGATCACATATATGACAAGTATTGCAACTGCAAAAGAAAATTGCTATACAAAACTCCATATGGAGATCTACAGAGACAAAGAACAGATGGGTTAAGTTGTAAGGATAAGAGTGGATTAGTCTAGTTATTTAGGCCAGGCTTTGTACTGGAAGGTTTTTTACTGCCATCTCTGTTACCCTAAGGTGCTTCCTGTAGACTGACTACAATAAATTTGGACACCTCTGCCCTTGAACTTCACTTGACTGTCATCTTGAATTTGGTTTGTCATATACCTTTATCTGAAGACTAAGCACTCTTTACATTTGCCTTGGAAGTCCAGTCCATCTCTGATGTCAGTCAAAAAAGTGACAATATATTAATTTGTAGCCTTAATACAGCAGTTAGCCATAGAATACCTCTGAGTCTTTCATGGATAGAAATCAGAATCCCACAAAGCTAGTCTCAGCTGGCCTCTCAGGGGGCAAATTACATCATACTGCGTTCATTAGAGTAAACACTGAACATCTGTCTGGTCTGACCCACCCAAATCCATGACAAGTATTGCATACACATTTTCTCCCAAGACACTCAAACCCCACCTGGAGATACCAAATGAATTTGATCGACCAAATCAAGCGGACTATACAGGGATTGAGTCTCCCATGCACATAGCTGTGTGGTTTTTTTTTCACTCTAGCAAATTCTCCCATCGACTCAAGTCTGGGGTTTACGGGTGCTTAGGCCAGATATGTTGTTTGGGTGGAGAAATAAAAAAAAAAAAAAAAAACAACTTGTTTTTAATTAAAATCAGAAAAAAATGGGTTCAATGAAAAGAAGTATGCCCTCAATATCCTAAGTCATAGTGCATGTACTCGCATGTGCTCCTGTGAGAGTGAGACAGGCAGAAAGGTGCAAAGACAGATGGCCCAAGAATCTCCCACCCTTGTCTTGATGTACTTCAAATGACCACACCAAATGCATTACATGTTACCTTGTGGATCAAGAAACAGTAATCTTTCTGTGCTGACTTTGTTTTGAACAAATACGGGACACATTTCGTTCTGTAATTTTGTACACATTGTTTCATAAACAAACAAGGTCAGGGTTACTGCTGGACCCCCTGACCAGGGGTAAGTATCACAAATCCAGATTTCATGCTCAGGCAGAAGATTTGTGGGATTTAAAGTACTCTAGTTTAAACACACCTGATCAGTGTTCACTTACATTTAGCTGAGTCTACCTTAAATCTGAAACCTTAAGTTAAATCTAAAGTTATCCAGCTAAGCAAGAAATCCTGCTTTGTGAGGCAGGCCCCTGGACGCTCACGTAGCTGGTAATTCAGGTCTTAATGATGCAGATCTGTGACTTTTTAGTGGCAGTGACTAGCAATACATAGCAGCCTGCACTGCGTCATATAAGCTTGTTAACACTACGCAGTTGATTGCATTACAGTAAAATCCCGTCATAGTGGACTCGCTTATAACGGAATATCATCTATAACGAACAAGGTCCACTGGTCCCGGCCGTGCGCTTTTAAGAATTTGCAGAACATGCGATGATATCCAGCGCACATACATAGTCGGGATTATTAATAGTCACGCATCTGGTCAGGCAAAGTTGGATTACTACATGTACAATATAATAATCTATACCACAAGTGTGTCTGCTGGGGTGTGGCATGATTAAATGATGTCCTGTAGTTGTGCTCTGGGCATACAGCAACTCTGGATATAACGGACTGTTTTGCCAGGTCCCTTGAAGTCCATTATAGCTGGATTTTACTGTATTATATCATCGGCAATGCATTCTAAACTTTCAGTCTATGCTACTAATAATACTAACATCTACACCATATTTAATGTTTAGGCATATTCATTCAAAACAATTCTGTAAACAAAGAGTAAAAAGCTGAAGCATATGGATTCAATCTTAAACACAATATTCTCACCAACTTGATATGTACCACAAAGTGATGTAGTCAAGACCACCTAAGCTCATTACCAAGACCAGAGTGTATCAAGAATGAGACAAGACCAAGACCAAGGCAGGGTGAGAACAAGTCAAAATCAGACTGATGTTTGAGTCTACATAACACAACACACTGTAAAATGTGAAGCATAGGCACCATCTTGGGGCTAGGCAGCATGGCCTAAAATTTGTGTCACAGTATAATTTGAACAATGGACGTTTTTGCTTAAAATTCCATATTAAAGCATTCTGCACAAATAACATTTTTTTCAAATAAGACACACCTTATTGGTTCCATTCGAACTTTGAAACAGGACGTTTTACACCCAATCACAGAACTGTGTTAAAAAACAGATAACTATTAAGCCATTGTGATAAATATTGAGGTATTTTGATGAGTGGTCTTGAATGGTCTTGAAATCAAGCCTCGAGTCCTCTATGTCCAAGACCGAGTCAAAATAAAATCGATTCTGAGATGAGACCAAGACCAGTCTTGAATACTACAATAGTAGTACCACCAAAATCAAGTTTCTCTAATTTTTTTAATTAGTTTGAAGACAGTTTCACATTATACGATTTGATGTCTAAACTGTCAATTGTGTCTTTGGGGTAGACCTCAATGCACGGCCATGCCATTTTTCGAATTATGGGCAGTGGGCATGACCACACCAATGAGGGGAGAACATACGTAACTGAAAAGCGTGTAACTTTTAACTTGCGTGCCTGAAGGGAGAACAGACCCCATAGTTCAGTCATACTTTAACAAATTCCAACAAGGCATGAACTTCCACTCATGAAATACAGACAAGCTAATACATCTTCATAAATTAAAGATTCAGGCAACATCCATCCATTTCTCTAGTACAGGGTCATTGTGAGGCTGGAATCTATCCCAGGAAGCACAGTGATTGTAGCAGGGGAATACCCTAGAGGCTAAAACCAAGATTATGGCTATCGGTATAACTATAGGAGGGAAGCAAATTATTGCGCAATAACCTCGTGCCACCATCTCGGAGCAGTTAGTCAGGGTAATAGAATCCTCTGAGCAAATTAATGCAAGCAAGTTAAACTCTGGCACTGTTAGAGTTCTGTTCAGTATGAGGTGCTATGTAACCAATGTTGGTGATGTCCACTACATAAAACTTCATCTCACCTCCCTAGATCACTGGTTTTTAAATACTTTTGGGAATCCTAAATAATCTTTTACCTTTGTCACAAAAGACTATTGTTGCTGCAGCTGACAACAGCACACTGAACATGACAAACACAGAAAAAGAGCACAGACAGCACATGCAGAGTATCACATGATATGGAAGACTGTGTGCCAACATAGAGGTTGACGGGCTTGGTGTTCATAGTAACACGTGGCATCATCTGCAACTATCCTATACAAATCAATTAAGCCTTAGCTAAATACCTATTCATTATTCCATAGTGAAGGAGTCACAGCTTGCTATCTCAACTCCAGATGTGTTTATTTGAATTGAGTGTTGACGCAATCAAGCCATAATTAAATCACAGCAGTCAACATTACAGGATGAAACCTACCTGTAACACAGGGCTGTTGTCAAAATTGTAACCACTGGGTCTCCCCTCCAGGGTGGAAAAGGCCACATTACCACCAGTCAACGGAGAAATGTCACTGAACTCGTCTGTGCACAAAGCCTGCTGCTCGTCTTCACCAGTACGTATAAACCCCCGGTTAGGCTTCTGGTAAGTCTTCTCACAGGAGCCACTGTAGTACTGGTAGGGAATCCATGGCCCATTCTCAACGGTGCGTTTGTAGATGGCGAAACTCTCCGGGCGGCTCGTGTGGAACTTCAGTCGGACATAAGTGATGTCGAAAGACTTGCCTGAGGAAAAGCAAGAAGCAAGGATGTGCAAGGATTAATCTTCAAGTTTGTGTAATTACACACTCACATCCTTTGTGTAGAATTGAGTTTACTGATCTCAAGTAACACACATTCACAGTGCAAGTTAAAATTGCTTGATGTGCTTCAAAACACTAGAAACCTTGTAATATTGAGGAATTGACAGGGCCCTCTTTCCATAGCTGAAGTCAGTGTACGACTCCTATTTGAAAGACATAAACGTGAACATAAATGGGACACAAGGAACAGTAGCAAATGAACTCAACTGTAAGAGTTCTGAAACAATACTCTATAGACAAATGAATCCACAGTGGAATGTTTTGGTCAACAACGCCACGTTGTGTCTAGACTAAACGAAGCCTTTAACTACACAGCCAGGCATGCTGTTGGTGTTGTATGGAGCACAACCGGCTCATTGTCTTGATTGCAACACGTATTAGGAAGTCTATATCAGGTTAGAAAACAAGGAGGGACTGCCCTAACCAAAGTCCAGACATAAAGCCCACTGAGATACATCAAGATCATGAAGGATGACTCATTTTGGATCACAAATGGATATTTTGTATCTAAATGGATCTCGTTGTTCCTTAGCCTTCAGACTGTACTCCCACAGAGCAGACTAAACTGTGCCCAGTAACCCCTAAAATAATACAGAAATATCAAAGCACTACTCCTTGTTTCTTTTTTCCGCCATGCCAAGGTCACATGCTTCTGGGTTTACATGGCCGCAATAACAGGTTTGAGATAATACTACCATTCACATTAAAATTCAGGCAGAAATAATTTTTGGATATTCATCTTTCAAATGACTGAAATAGCCATAGACTCTTGGGGGACTTTTCCACTGCACCAAATACCGTACTTTTGGTACTGTTCTTTTGCTTTTCCATTGACTTTTGGTCGAGTATCAGTACCAAAAGTTCCACTACCGAAAGTGCCAAACCAGCTGGGGTACTTCAGTACTTTAGGGTGGGACTTGAACCAATTTGTAGATTGGTTATGCAAATAGCCTGGCGCTGAAACACAACACAATCACCGCCATGAAAACAGTCCCGAACTCAGAAAATAACGGGAAAGACGCGGTTTGGTCATAAGAACATATACAACAAAAAGATCAGGATAGCGTGACAAGAAACTAAAAAGTATTTTGTTGAATATACTAATACAACACACATAAAGTGATGTGATTTTGTTATAAATATACCACTGATATAAATTCATTTTTTAATATATTTATAAAAGGAATAATTAAAATTGCAAAGCTTAGCAAGTATTTTTTTCCCTGTGACAGAGTAACATAGTATATGAAAATATTATGGCAATACTAACACCCTGTGCTATGATGTTCTAATTGAAAGTAAGAAAAAGCCTTATTTTGATATAGTTGACTAGTGATGTAAGAATTGTTTGTGCACAACATGTGATGCTGGTATTAATATTGCGCATTGCCAAGCCGTATAATACACTACAATGATTTTTCGAATTCAGTACAAAATACCCCACACCATGCATGGTCATTTGGTGCTTGGGGCTTTAGTGGAAAAACACCCTTGGTGTACAGACCCCAGGAACTAGAATCCTGATCTACGTTTATGACTCAGTCCTTTTAAATCTACCAGGTCCGATGGCACAACTCAAAAAAGCTAAATATTTTGCCCTCTATACCTGTAGACTATGGGTGGGAAACCTGATCCATGGAGGGCCGGTGCAGGTGTAGGTGCAGGTTTTTGGGGTGACCTCTCAATCAGCCAATAACAGTGGATTCCCAGTGGAGTTTAGTTGAGAACCACAGCTTTATTATTGGCTGATTGAGAAGTCATCCAAAAAACCCGCACCAGCCCTCCATGGATCAGGTTCTCCACCCCTTCCGTACACAAAAGTCATCCTCAGTTTTTTTAGAACCATAGCTAGACTTAATGCTACCTAACATTAGTGGTAATAATGTTGTCAAAAATCCCTCACCCAATGCAACCATACTTGCAACCATACTTTCAACTGCACACTTAAATCGATATGCTTGACCGTTTCCATTCTAAACACAAATCGGAAATGGATTTACGAATTTATGCATAGCCTTCAATCCAAAAAGGCAGGGAAAAATCATATTGCAAGTGATGGGTCTGGGCCGTTGTATACAGACCCACCCAGGTCCATTGACACCGCTTTTCTCCAGATGCTACCACTTAGGCCGTGCAAAAGCAGGATAACTTCTTTCAGCATTAAAATACTACATAGTATTCGGTAAAGCTTTACATTAAGTGCACCTTCATAATGCATAATTCATAGAACATTCATAAGCAGCATGCAAGTACACCTTAACATCCTAACGTCCCTTAACAGATTTAATACACATTAATAGCAAACATTACATGATTATACTATTATAATGTTTGTTATTATATAATGCTTATTAATGTATATTACAGCTGTTAAGGGATGTTAGGATGTTAAGGTATACATACATGATGTTTATGAATGTTTTATGAATACTTAATGAATATATTATGAAGGTGTACTGAACGTTTTATGAATGCAATAAAAGCATTATGAAGGTGCAGTTAATGTAAACTTGGTGGTAAAATAAGATAATGTCATTAGCTTTCACTACTGAGGTCTTAAAATGTGTCATGTGACAGGCCTGTCCATTATCAGTCATGTTATCTGCTAAAGATAATAATCCTAGAGATGAGCTCAGCTGAAACCAGTATCTGTAGCTGGACGAACTGTAACCAAAAGAACACATATAGACACACATACAGAACTGTGCAAAAATCTTAGGCCGCCAAAGAAAATCTCTCTAGGTGTGTGGAGTTTAAGTCAAGAAAGGTGATGTTACATTTATAGAATTCCTTGGTAAGACCCCACCTAGAATATTGTGTGCAGGTTTGGTCACCATACCTTAAGAAGGACATTGCTGCCTTAGAAAAGGTGCAACAGAGGGCTACGAGAATGATTCCTGGTCTTAGAGGAATGTCTTATGAGGAGAGGTTAGCTGAGCTGAATCTGTTTAGCCTGAACAAAGGAGGCTAAGGGGGGACATGATCCAGGTCTATAAGATTCTAACAGGTCTGGATGCTGTTCAGCCAAATGGCTATTTCAATATTAGTTTAATTACTAGAATTCGTGGCCATAAGTGAAAATTAGCGAGAGAACATTTTAAAACAAATTTGAGGAAGCACTTCTTTACACAGCATGTAGTTAGAATATGGAATAGTCTTCCTGCTAGTGTAGCGGAAGCTAAAACCCTGGGTTCCTTTAAATCAGAGCTAGATAAGATTTTAACAACTCTGAGCTATTAGTTAAGTTCTCCCCAAACAAGCTTGATGGGCTGAATGGCCTCTTCTCGTTTGTAAACATCTTATGTTCTTAAATGTTCTTCATGTTGGTGTAAAACTGCTGTTATGCCTGCCAAAGTGTGTTAGCTTAGCCATTTCAAAGCATCTGGTAAAATCACCACATTATTTCCAGAAACCATACACCACCACCCATGTATTTTTTCACTTGACCACTAGCACACCTCGTGTAGCTAATCAATATCTCACTGACTTTTTAAAATGAATTAATTCATTAACTGCCCTGGTGGTGAAATTTAATAAATACATTTATTTAAGAACTTTCAACTAACAAGCAGTGTCCATCAACCCATTAGCAGACGTGAGACACAGCCTGGGGCACCATATTGTGGGGGCCAAAGCTCACCAGCTCTGCCCATCTGAAGCTGATTAA